AAGCAACACCTACCTGACATGATTTGGAAGAAAAAAGAAGGAAAAAGAAGTAAAGAAAAAGAAACGAAAAAGGAACACACACACACACACAGAGGCCTTCTCCCAGCCATGGGTAAAATCTACATATCAATTAAATGATTTAATTTTTTTTTTATTGTTTATTTATTACGGTGTCACCTCCTGTTTCTTGATTGGTTGGTTACATTGATTATCTTCTTCAGTGTCGGGATTGTCAACCTGGAAAGTGGCGCATTGCAAAGCCTTCTTGAGAAAGCATGGGGACACTGTGGGCGGCAGAAAGGCAGACCTCCTGTTGAAAGTCGAGCAGATCTGCAGGTCAGTTTTTTTTTTTTTTTTTTTTTTTTTTTTTTTTTTGTTGTTGTTGTTAAACTACCAGTTCACACCAGCCTAAATTGACGAAGCTACCTACCTTCCAAGGCTCGCAAGCCTTAACTGTTTTTTTTTTTTTTTTTTTTTCCTCCCTCATAGTGGCCTTCCATGTTCACTACCGGCCCAGGTCTGAAGAGTCATGTGGCTTTACTGCGTAAACCCGCATGAGCCCAATGTAGCTTCGGACGAACTGGTATTTTAAGGGGGGTAACCATGAACGTGTCGTGTTTTCATCGTGTTTGCATCGATGACTCTGTCCTTGGGGTAACCCTTACAATATATATATGACGATATGATGAGTCGGTGAAACTCCGACGAAACAGTTTGTCACAGCCCCTCGTTTGTTGTCCTCTTCTCTCTCTCTGCCTACGGTTTACCGGGCAGTTCTATTTGTGACGATATATATGACGATATATATATATATATCTGCCTACGGTTTACGGGGCAGTTCTATTTGTGACGATATATATGACGATATATATATATATATGACGATATATATATATATATATGACGATATATATATACACACTTACTCGTCGCATGCTTTCGCGTGGGAATTCGCCACCAACCCTTGCTAAGGGGTGGACCTGCTACATGCGCTCTCGCCAATGTCGCTATCCTACACATGTAACACGTCTCTCTCAGTGGTTCCGACGCATGCTGTGATGGTCCTTGTACCATGCAATTCCTTCTTCGCCCCATGACGCTCTCGTCCTGCCCCTGCTTGCTCATCTGCTGCTACCGCAGTTTCCACTGCTGCAATCTCCACTCCTGCAGTTTCCACTGTTGCAGTTTCCACCGCTACAGTGTCCACTGCTCCAGTTTCCACTGCTGCAGTTTCCGCTGCTGCAGTTTCTACTTCTCCGGTTTCCACTGCTGCAGTTTTCAGTACAGCAGTTTCCATAACTGTAATTCACCCTAGTGTAGTTTTTACTGCTACAGCTTCCTCTCCTGCAGCTCCATTGCAAAGAACATCACAGTCTCTCCGACATTCACATCCTTTATTCTTAAATCTTGCCCAATCCACCCCCGTCTCTCATCTCCTTCTGTGCTTGGTCGGAGATGGCTGCATTCCTCCTCACCACCCCTATCCCCTCCACGGTCTCGCTTGCGAACAGACTCTCCAGTTTCCATTGTTCCCATTGTTCCACCTTCGTTGCTAACTACAAGTTCATCTTCTGTTTGCAACACCACTACTCCTCTTGTTGTGTATCGCCGACGACATCCGCGGCATCGTGACTTGTCCGGGATCAGCAACCTGTTCCTTTGTCTGCTCCGATTCTGTCTGTGCCTCCTCCACAGGTTGTTGCGATTCCTTTGTTTCAAACGGCAAGATCCGTTCCTATGCCTCCTGCATACAGTCCAGCTGCCAGCAGGCAGCCACGGCACCATGTTTTATACCCTGTGGAGTTAGATATTCACGACTTACCTGTACAACACAATGTGGTCCCTGCCCAAAGTACACTCCCGACTCCAGGGACAGTCCCTACTCAGGATGCAGCCCTAAACATTGAGGGATTGGAACATGATCTGCTCGGATTGCAGTTGACCCCACAAGGCGTAGACCACATGGGGGATCTGCCAATGGCTGACCAGCATTGTTCAGATGAACCACAAATTTGTGCTCCGCCATGCGCAGACCACATGGAGGATCTGCAAATGACTGACGGGCGCTATACTGAATGCATGGTCTTTTGTGGTGACTGTTCTTCCTTCATTTTGGCCTGCAATCGACATGCCATTTGTCGGGGGTGTATGGTGGGCATTCTCAATGCCAGCCGACGTGGCAATTGTAGCACTGAGAATGCTCAGCTAGGTCTTCCATGTGTTCATCCACCTCATCCTTACAATGTATGTCCTCTCTGTCGTCAAGCACAGACTCATTCTTGAGACTTTTCTTATCCTCTTTTGCCTTCATCTTCACTCCACACTCCATACTTTCCCTTTATCGTTCTTTGTTTGTCTGCTCTCCATCTCTCCTCCCTGTGTTTATCCCCTCCCCCTTCACTCTGCCTCTTTCTCACAGCGTACAAGTGGGCCGTTATGGTACACGGGGATGGGGGCAGCTCGCGCTCAACTTCAGCAACGTGGCGTACGTGAGAGGCACGGTGAATGGGGAGTTAAGAAGAATGAGAAAAATGAATGGTTTCAGTGTGCCCTTCATGTTTGTCTTGTTTTCTAATTTTTTATTTTTGCTGTTTGTTTCGCAAAGTGCGCTCTTTTAGTTCATAGTTATGTGACAATATATATCTACATGTATATGACCGTTGTCTTTCTTTTTTCTACTCCATGCTTCCTAGCCTGTGATGGTAACTATCGTCTTCACCCGTGTAGAACAAAGCCCGGTCATTATATAGCTGCATTTGGGACAACTTTTAGTTTATATACACTGATAATGACTGGGCATTCTATTCAGGCGAAGACGTACCATCTTCACCCGAATGGAACACATTGTCAATATAGCTGTATTTGGGGCAAATTCCTGTCTCTCTACTGCGATAAAATGAACGTGCATTTTATTCGCATGAAGATGGTAGCTGCAGTTTCCTTTTCTGATGTGCTGGCAAGAAGATAATTAGCCGGGGGGGTCCTGGTCGGGGAGGTCGTGGAAAGCGATTTTGTCGCATCTGTTTTCTCTTTTCGAAGGGGTCAGCCCCTAACTTTACTAACTTTCTAGTGTTTTATATTCATCTGATTGCTTTAAGAGTTGAACGCATGACCGGTTTACTAACCCATAACCCATCATGTGGTTTTTAAACATGTGGTGGAATGGTACACAGTGGGCATACATCGTTTTTTTCTTCTTCAGAGTTCGAACCAGGGCTGGTCCCCGGATGGACCGGGGACCCCTACCCCATCCGCGATCCTCCCTGTTGGACCGGCCGGTGGCCCGGGCCGGTTCCCTCCCGGTTGCCCCCAGGGCATTTTCGCTGGGGCCTGAATTTTTTTTTTTGCCGGCACGAATGTGCTCCCGAGGCCTTGTGGGGGTGGGCCCTGTCCCACAATTTCGAAACCGGGTCCTGTAGGCCCGGATTTTTCAAGACCAAAAACTGGCCAATCTTGGCCGCTGATTGTTGCAGATCAGCGGCAAAGATCGGCCAGGACCCCATTTCTTAAGAAAAGCGGGCAGAGGATATCCGCCGCTGATCTTTGCAGATCAGCAGCGGAGAACCGCCACACACTTTTCTTAAGATGTGGGTCGGGTAGGCCCCTTCTCCAATTTGTCATCTTGTGGTCCAACGGACGAGTTACCATTGGCAACATCTGATGCTCTTTCACCCTCAGCCACGAGGGGAACACTATGCTTGTGATGAGGCTCTGCTGAGATTATATCCTTCTGCAACGTCCCTGCCATCTGTGGAAAGTTGGAAACATCTGTGGAAAAAGTTATGGGTTCGGATTTTGGAATCGTGATGTCAGAGCCGTCCGAGGTGCAAGCCCAAGAATGGACCTAAGCTATATTCTTCTCTCGATCTATCTCGAATGGACCTTGCTCCACTACATGTATCTGGACAGACTGCCAGGCAAGATACTTCCGGACCGATAACTCACCTTATGTAGAAACCAACAAACAGAGAACGCTCTACCTCCACGAGCTGAAAGCTGGAACCATAACTCTTCTGCTGTTGAGTTATACTCTGGAAGAGCTATAACTTCTGGCAAGGACCTCCTCTCATTATATGTGGTTCAGCTCGTGGGGTATCAATATCAAATGACACACTCCACAAAGTGCTCCAGCCACGTGGGGGTTGGATAAGTGAACTTGCTTACTTGACCCCTCCCCGTGGAAGCCATAGTTGCCTGGATATGTCAATAATAACCCCCTGGCCCCCTCTGGAAGCCCCCTGAAAAATATTGCACCTTGAAAATTTTATTGCGGATTCGACAGCTCTTGAAGAGCGCAGTCGGAATCTGCCGAAAAAAAAAGAAAAGAAGATATTTGGGCACTTTTTTTTCAAAACCGGTTTCCCGGTTCACCCCCCCTGGCCTGGTCCGGCTCTGGTTGGACCGGGGTAGCTCAACAGGCCGGTTGCCGGCCCAGTACCAGTTCGAACCCATTCAAACGGTACACAGTGGCTGGTTCGCTTCAGAATCCAAACCCATCCAACCACATGGGTTGGGTACATGCTTGGTCACATCTTTTCTCTTTTTTTTTTTTTTTTTTTTTTTTTTCAGCATGTCACATCTTTTCCGAGTCTTCTAAGTCGAAAGGCAAAGTAGATTGCATGTGGCTGACTATACTTGCATTACATAGCAGCGAGCATTTCAGCATACAAAGAAAGGAAGCCAGCTCTGAATGTGAGAAAACTCGAAAGCGTGTATTACATAGCAGCGAGCATTTCAGCATACAAAGAAAGCAAGCCAGCTCTGAATGTGAGAAAACTCGAAAGCTTGTATTAAAGCTTGTATTAAGTATTTTTAACTCAAGAAGATAAAGAGTTCCCACACTGGAGTCATCGACGACCATAGCCGTGGCTATGGCTGAACACTCTCTCCGAGTGTAAGATCAGCTATCCTCTCTTGGATTCAAGCCCAGGCTGCCTCTCATAGCCACAGCAGCAGTACACAAAAGGCTTTGACAGCATGCATGCCTGCTAGTTTGGAGGGTTTAGGGTCTAGTGTTTTTTTTTTGTTTGTTTTGTTTGTTTGTTTGTTTTCTCTTTCTGGCACGGAGGCTGACGAAGAATAAACAATATTTGTGGATCTCAGAATGTTTGCAATGTGGAAGCTTCCTCTTATTTTAGATTTTTGAAGAAATGTGACAAGAAGAGAGTTACAAGACCAGGTTGCATCGGATAGCCACTATCGGCAGTGCACAAAGATGTTAGCAGCTTGTGTTTCTGCTGGAGGGTTTAGGGTTTTAGGTTGAGGGCTTAGTTTTCCTGGAGGCTGAAAAATCAAACAACCACTACCCATAACAGTGTGTGCCACATCAGTAGTGTGAAACAGCATGCCTTTGCGTTGGTGAGTAGGGTTTAGGGCTTAGCATTTTGCATGAAGGGCTTGGGGTTTAGCATTGAGGAGTGTTGAGGGTTCAGGGTTTAGGTTAAGGGTTTAGTGTTGAGGGTTCTGTTTGCCTGGAGGCTGGCAAATCGAACAACCACCACCCATAATTGTGTGTGCCACATCAGAAATTTTAAAATTGCATGCCTTCTCGTTGGCGAGTAGGGTTTAGGCTTAGCATGTCGCTTGAAGGACTTAGGGCTTAGCATTTAGGATCAAGAGGCTTAAGGTTGGGGGTTTAGCGTTGAGGGTTTAGGGTTTAGGGGTGAGGGCTTAGTTTGGCTGGAGGCTGGCAAATCAAACAACCACTACCCATAACAGTGTGTGCCACATCATCAGTGGAAAACAGCGTGCCTTTTCGTGGGCAAGTAGGGTTTAAGGCTTAGCATTTCACATGAAGGGCTTATGGTTTAGCGTCTAGGATCAACGGTTTAGGGTTGGGGTTTAGCGTTTAGGGTTTAGGGTTTAGGGTTTAGGGCTATGTTACCAGCTGTCCGATGGCAGCACAACCTGGCCGGACAGTCAGGGGGGGGTCCCGGATGTCCGGGCCCGGACAACTCCATTTTTAGCAGTTAAAAGCACGAAAAGAAAATAAAAAATTGGGGGTGTTTTATTTTTATTTTTATTTTACAATTGATAACGAATCTCGATGTCCTCTTAAGGCAAAAGTTGTTTAGTTTATTTTTATGCATAACATAGTTTTTTTTTTCGGATTTTTTAAGGGTTTTTTTTTTTTTTTTTTTTTTTTTTTTTTTTTTTTTTTTTTTTTTCCTGGCGTTCGGCCTCGGACAGACTGCCCGGGGAGGATGTCCGACCGGACAACCCCGGATGGTCAGGGGGTCCCGGACGTCCGATCAGATAACCTGGGTTTAGGGTGAGGGTTCAGTTTGCCTGGAGGCTGGCAAATCAAACACCCACTACCCATAATAATGTGTGCCTTGGCATAAACTGTTTAGGGTGAGCATTTAGTTTACCTGGAGGCTGGCAAATCAAACAACCACTACCCATAACAGCTTAGCCCCAAAGAGAAGACGTGCTCTTAAAGCCTTGGCAAATCAAACTGTGAGTGCTTAGTTTGCAAATGCTTTAAAAGCATGCTGTGAAAGCCTCCAGGCAACGTGAGTGGCGTATGAGTGCAAGGGTTGAGTAGTGCTTGATGGTGTTGGCTCAAGGATTGTGCGGGAGGAGGTGATGGCGCCATGACATTAAAACTCACATCATCTTCTTCTTTGTTGTATCCATGATTGTGTTTTTCTCTCTCTTTTAACAGCATGCCTTCTGTTTGGGGCTATGGCTCAGAGCTTAGCATTTTGGCTTTAGCATTTTGGCCTTAGCATTTTGGCTATAAAAAAACAAATTCTTCTGAGAAACAATAACAAGTCAATAGAGTGAAAACAAAACAAATAAAAATCCACAAAAAACGAATTCGAGCTTCCTCGATAATCATTTTCAATACTGAATTCATTATCCGTAAATTAACAATACCTACAGCGGCTCCAGCTGATGCGATTGTTGCACAGCCCACTCCAATTAATTTTGCAGCATTTTTGGCCTTAGCATTTCGGCTTTAGCATCGATGGTTTAGGTTGAGGGTTTGGTTTGCCAGGAGGCTGGTAGATCAAACTACCACGAACCTTAACAGTGTGTGCCACATCAGTAGTTTGCAAGGGCTTTAACAGCATGCCTTTCCTTTGGGAGGCTAAGGTTTAGACTTTAGAGTTTTGCAGTAAGGGTGGAAGGGTTTAGGTTTTGTCGTTGAGGGCCCAGGGTTTCGTTTGCATGGGAGGTTGGCAAAATGAAAAGCCACTACCGTCTTCACCCGAATAGAACGCCCGGTCATTATAGCTGTATCTGGACTTAAGGTGCACCAAATACAGCTTTAATGATCGGGTGTTTTGTTCGGGTGAAGACGGTACTCATAACAGTGTGCCTAGCAGTTAACTGTCAGACCTCCTAGGCATAGTGCAATAACAGTGTGCATGCCGTTGAAGGGGTGCCGTGTCGTGCCTTAGGCAACCATTCAACGCCTCTTCCGCTTTCCGTTTTCCGTTTTCTTCTTTCCGCTTTCCCCTTTCCGCTTTTTGCTTTCCGCTTTCCGTTTTCAGCTTTCAGCTTTCCGTGTTCCATTTTCCGTGTTCCGTTTTCCGTTTTCCGTTTTCCGTGTTCCGTGTTCCGTGTTCCGTTTTCCGTTTTCCGTTTTCCATTTTCTGTTTTCTGTTTTCCGTTTTCCGTTTTCCGTTTTCTGTTTCTCATTTCTCGTTTTCCGTTTTCCATTTTCTGTTTCCCGTTTTCCATTTTCTTTTTCCAGTTTTTCGTTTTTCATTTTTCGGTTTTTTTTTTTTGTTTTGTATTTGTTTTTCGTTTCTCATTTCTCGTTTCTCGTTACTCGTTTCTCGTTTCTCGTTTCTCATTTCTCGTTTCTCGTTTCTCGTTTCTCGTTTCTCGTTTCTCGTGTTCCGTTTTCCGTTTTCCGGTTTTCGGTTTTCATTTTCCGTTTTTGAACCCTGGCAAAAGATAATGGGTTCTGTGTTTCTGTTGAATGATTGAATCTGCTTTTTGTGACTTGGCAATCCAGGTTGGACTCTAGTATCCTTCAGCAAATCCCAAGCACGTGCTCCTCCAAGAAGAATGCGAAAGATGGCTCGGGTCATGAACCGATGTTTGTCGGTGTCACTTTGTCCAAATGTGACCATCCGGCAGCTACCGATGCTTGTGACACGGAAAGTGTTTGCGGAGGGACAGTGATGGATGGAGATGGCTGTAGCAGCGAGCAAGACGAGAATGAAAGTGCTCCTGCAAAACCTGTCGATCCTGAACCTTCTGTGAAACCTCTTCCAAAGATCGAGGAAGTGATGTTTGGAAAAGCCATGATGCTCATTGAAGGTAAGTTTGACATTTTTCCACTCTCCATGTGACAATTAACATTTTTTATCATTCGTGATGCTTGTCTTTCTCCGTCAATTATTATTATTGTTATGGCTATTTTATAACGAGTATCGATAGTGTATTATTTTATTATCCTTTCGGGCTTTCAATTGTCATCGAAATATTATTATTGCAAGGAATATGAACAAGAGCGATAGACAGAAATCCAGATTGCAAAATCATGCTGATGTCCAGATAGTCATGTACCAAGCAGAGAGCACAATGCACCAAGATACCATCCAAATAAGAGCAGTACCATGAACTCAAATGTCAATGCTGACGCTCTCTGGCCACACCAGCATAGTATCCAATGTCGCGCCTACTGTCTGGCGCCCAGCGCCCAGCCTACAATAATCAGCCTATCTATCATATCTACGTTCATGCAACAGGATCACTTCGACGTTGAAGACCAATGTACGTGACATCAACACCAATGCAGACCGTCAGCATACACCAGGTACGTTCTCTCTCCTCCCCTCATCACACCCAGTCTCCCATCTGGATGTGCCTCCTACCTGAAGACCACCATCGCCATCACCTACTACTGGACGCTCGGCCCGGCTATGGCCGCCGTGCGCCCGCCGCCACCGCAGCGCCCTCTCGCCTCTCAGCGCCCGTGTGCCCCCGCTGCCACCGCAGTGCCCTCTCACCTCTCAGCTCTCGCGTGCGCCCCAGCCTGCCTGCTTAGCGCAGCATCGCATGGCAAAGCAGCAGCGTGGCCGCATTGCCTGCTCAGGCCAGAATGCCCTGCCCAGAGGCACACACTTTCCTTTATGGAAAGTTCGCCCAGCTGCTGGCTGGTCTGGGCCAGGCGTGTAGGGGCCCACTAGCTTCCAGTTGGCCCAAAGTGTCTGCGCCCAGGCCCAGTTGCAGATACTGGCCTGGGCCTCGTGCAGATAGGCACGTCCAGGTTGCCCTCCGGGCTCCAAGTGTTTGTCGCATTCTTATTGGCTCATGGTAGACGTGTGACGACAATGCTGCATTCTCATTGGTCCACGGCCACTGCGTGATTTGTCAGCCTCCCCCTGCGTGTGCCCAGGGCGCAACCACCTGAGCCCTGGGCTCAACTGTACAGCGCAGCTGTTGCTTCTGGAAGGAGCCACAGAAGGCTCACTTTGCTCTGTAACCAACTGGCGTGCGGCAACTGACTGATACCCCACATACGAAAAATGCTGAAAATAGGCCTCTCGTGGATGTACAGTCCCGCCTTCACTTAGGGTGGGCACGAGGCTTGCTAGGGCCCGCAGCCCAGAACATTTGCATGCCCGAGAAGGGCCTCGCAAGGGCTCATTCCTCACATTATTTATAATAATAAAATAATATGTTTGATTAATTTCATGGTAACTGGACGTCGGGACCGGGTTCCAGAGTCCGGAACAACATGTCCGGGTCCGGTGTCCGGTCCGTGATGTCCGGGTGGAGGCCCCCAGTGCGAGGCTCGAGGCCTCGATAAGCCCTACTGGGCCCTCTTTTCAGTACAGTCGGCCACCCTAAGTGAAGGCAGGCCCGACCAAGGCCTATTTTGGGGTCTTGCAGTAACCCTGTTCAGCAGCAGACCGGGGCTCAGAACTTTGCCCCCGGTAAAAACACAGACTCTGTTGTCTGTGCTGGGCTATGTGACCGAGACATGCCCAGCCTGAGTCTGTCGAGGAGGCTGTGTGACCGAACGCGGCACAAAGGAAATTCAACAGTCAAAGTCAACTGTAGAGTCAAAGGTACCGCGCCCAGGCCTATGGTCGGATACATTCACTTGTTGTGTGCAGGTACCCAGACAGCATTCAGGGCGGGAGGAATACAGTTTCTGGCCAATCTGGGCCCTCATTCACATCGAGATCTGGACGGTGCAGGACTTCAGCACCCGGGGTCCAGACCCCGCATCCACGCTACTTAAGAGTTGACTTCCTGGCTGGACGGGCATTCGGTCTTGTGTCAATGCTGCACGCATTGACTTTGACATTGACGCTGCGACGCTGTGACGCTGCGACATTGGCTTGACGCTGGCTGTTACATCTTCGACGCCACACGGGTCCTACCGGACCCGACTTAGGGCTAGAGGGACACATCAGGGCCTAAAGGYCCGACCTTGGGGGATAACAGGCCGAAAGGCCACGACTTGGACCCGACTACGGACCAGGCCCAAATGAAATTTCGTCTTTGGGCCTGACGGCGCCGTTTGAGGCTGCCGCTCTCCGGTTGGACCTGAATCGTCGGTCTGGACGGTGCAGCCCCAACCAAGGCCTCGCAGCAGTGAGGCCGGTCCTCTTCGAACCAGTACTTAGTACTGGTCCGGCCTCACTTCGAGGATCGACCCACCGGTATTCTACGCGGTGCGGTAAGGTCGGCGCCAGAGCGC